TATGTGTGTGTATTTGTGTGTATGAGTGTATGTGTGTGTATGTATATATGTGTGTGTATGAGTGTGTGTGTGCGCATGTGTGTGTGTTAAGGTCAGAGGACAACTTCCAGGAATTGGTTCTCTCAGAACTCAGGTCGTCAGGCATTCCCAGTAGAGCTGAGCTATGTTGCTGTCCCCTCCCATCTTAATGTCTCTATATTTTGTGACACTGTGGTTTTCATTAGGACTGCTTACAGGGACACAAGTGAGGGGTCAATTATAGGAGCTTGGACACTTTATCACGTGGCTCTGTCACAGAAGAAAATGTCTGTCCTTCCCCCTAGCAACCATTAGCTACCTGTAGTTCTTCAGGGAGGGGTGGAGTCCCTTGAATATTTCTGATCTGCCCTGCCCACTGCTGCAGAAACATCTTAGACTTTTCCAGAAGACCCTCACATGGGCTCTAGATTGACCTAGCCACCCACTTCAGCTGTGGCCTTCTGCCCCTGTGCTGGCTTCTTCTGATTCTGGGGTCCAGAGCAGCAGTGTGCCCCCACTTCTAACCCATGTTGAAAGCATAGCTACTACAAGGACTTACCACATAATTCCTGGATGCAGGGTGCTGGGTTCCACTGCCTGTGTACTCCACTCCGGCTGCTGATGCCCTGGCTACCTGTAGTTTCCAGAGAACATAAGGAATCAGTTGTCTTTGTTAGTGCCCCCCCCCCCAACCTGACCCTCAGCCTCACACCCAAGGCTCTGCCCTGGACTCAGTGTGGCACTGGGCTCAGGGTGGTAGCTATATGTAGCAGGATACTTATTCTGCTACATTGTATTTGCAGTGGCGCTCAGTGATTAGGCAGAAGAGGAGGTGGAGCTGGGAGAGAAAGAGAGGAAGGGGAGGGGAAGGAGGAGACTGTCAGCCATGGAGAACCACGGATGGGTGGAAAGTTGTCCTGGGTAGCAACTTCTATCAAAAGGTTAGATATTGGGTAACAATTCTAACTGTGTGGGCATTTTGTCGATTGAACATTTCTAAATATATAAATCCTTTAGATAATCATTAAGCTTTAAGAGTCTCATTTCTACCGGGTACTGTGAGGATGGCAGATGTTGTCTGGGGTTCAGCTGAGCTTTGTGGATGCAGTGTGGGGGATAGCCAATCCCCCACGCTGGCATCTCGTAGATGCCAGGGCCTCCGCATCTAGCTAGCCGGAGCCCCGGTCAGAGCCGGGGAGCAGCGGGAACATGGTGGCTGCCCAGGAACAAGCCTGACGAGGCGCTGTTTTCTAAATATCACCCCTACAGCTATGCTGGAGTCATGTGGGGATGTGCTCAGAACAGCTACTGGCCCCAACCCCCACCCTGAGTTGTGCAACCTCCACTCACTCCTTGACATGAGGTATCTAATGGGAACCTCAGGGTTGCATGTGCATATTCTCTTGGTGAGGCTCCCCCAGATCTGTATGGATCCTTGCATGACTCAGACTCTTACTCCAGGTCCTCATGGGTGTTTAGAACTAGGCACACTTTCTGTGCAGTGAATGACAGAGTAATTTGTGGGCCATGTTCCATTTCTCTGCTGATGATTTTATTATTGATTGGTTGATTGACTGATTGATTGATTGGCAGGATCTCATTGTCTCAGTTGACCTTGAACTAAATATGTAACGAGGATGACCTTGAGTTTCTTCTCCTCCCACCTCTTACCTCCTTAGTTCTGGGATCCCCGGTGGAGTGGGAAACCATACCCAGTTCATATGCTGCTGGGAATCGAACCGGGTGCTTCAGGTGTTCTAGGCAAGCAGTCTGCCAACTGAGATGCATCTCCAGAGTACTGTAGCTTTTCCTTCTGTTCTTTTTTTTCTTTCTCCTTTCTTTTGGTAGCCCTTTCCATATATAAAAGCTAATACTAGCTCATGAATTGTCAAAAGCAGGCCACAGTCTGGCTCATGGGCTGTAGCTGGCTGATGCCCGACTTTCAGGATGATGTAAACCAGGTGGGACTGCAGCCGTCAGGGAGGCCTCTGGAAAGATGGCTCTGCTAGGAAGGGAAAAATGACAGCGACTGTGTAGCTCCTGGAAGGAGTCAGGAGTGATTCTGTAGAGAATGGCTGAAGTGGAGTTTCCTGTGGCGACATCAGATAGAAAAGCTGGGAGCTGGGTCAGCTTAGAGATCCAGCTATACATGCCTGGTTCCCTTGGGGCATGTCACTGTTTTAGTTTATTTGGTGCAGCTGTAAGAGGATCCCTGAGACAGGGTCATGTAAAGAACAGACATTTGGGCTGGAGAGATGGCTCAGCAGTTAAGAGGACCGGCCCCCCTTCCAGAGGTTCTGAGTTCAATTGCCAGCAACCACATGATGGCTCACAACCATCTGTAATTGAATCTGATGCCCCCTACTGGTATGCAGGTGTACATACATTAAAAAAAAAAAAAAAAAGAACAGACATTTCGTGGCTTGTGCTTCTCAAGCTGAGAGTACCATATGCAGGCAGCTGGGAGAGCAGAGAAAATACTTGCCACAGAAGAATGAAGGCTGGTGTTTGGAACCCTACTCTTAGAAGACAGAAAGATTGTCCTAGGTCAATGAGGCCCTATTCATGGTTATTAGTCACCCTCAAGATTCTTAGCTCCCCCTACTCCCTTCTGAGGCAAACCCATAGCCACAGTGGCAGGGTTTGGTAGGGTGAGTGGGACTGTGGCCCTGGGAGCCTGAGCAAGCATAATTTACCTTGGTGGTGTACAGTGAGATTGGGAGCCCCCGTTCATACCATCGAACAAGATGGTCACATGCTTCTTTCTTCCTCTTCCAGGGCAGCCCATGACCTTCCCCCCTGAGGCCCTGTGGGTGACCGTGGGGCTCTCTGTCTGTCTAGTGGTACTTCTGGTGGCTCTGGCCTTCGTGTGCTGGAGGAAGATCAAGCAGAGCTGTGAGGAGGAGAACGCAGGTGAGCGAGAGTGACTCCTGTGGACGTGTGCGTGTGGTGTGCCTGCATGTCTTAGGGGCTGTCTTAGTTTATTGGTGCAGCCATAAGAGAATACCCGAGACAGCGTCATGTAAAGAACAGAGATTTCCTGGCTTGTGCTTCTCAAGCCGAAAATACCATATCCAGACAGCTGGGAGAGCAGAGAAAGCATTTGGCACAGAATGAAGGTTGGAGTTTGAGACCCTGGCACCTACATGAATGTCTAGTGGGCATGGCAGCTTGTCTGTAATTCCAGCTCTCAAAAGGAGACCGAGCTTCCCCCAGATCAAACGGATCAGCTACACTAGCCATATCAGTGAGTTCTGGATTCAACTGAGAGGCCTGGTCTTAATGAATAACATGAAGAGTGATTAAGGAAGACTCCTGACATCAGCCCTGGGCTTCTACATACATGTGCACCCACACACATGTAAGCAGGTGTGCACACATGCACGACTACCTCACAATCAGCCACATCCACAAAGTAAATAAGTCAGTACCATGTCCAGGTACCTCCTGCACCTGGAGAGGCCTTGCTGATCACTGAATGCTGGAAAGCAAGATGGCACCCGCCCCAATTTAAATTTAAATTTTTTGTGTATGGGTGTTTTGCCTGCATGCATGTCTGGAACTGGAGTCATGGGTGATTATTAGCTGTCATGTGTGTGCTGGGAACAGAATCTTGTTCTCTACAAGAGCAGACAGTGCTCTTTAACCACTGAGCCAAGTCCCACCCCCTTGATACGGTTTGACAACAGCATAATTTCAGTGTGCATTTGGGAGGAAAACAAACATTCAAACAGTTGCTGTGCCTGTGACAGAATGAAGAGGAGAGGTCTAGCCTTAGACCTTTAGGCTAACGTCCTATGTGAGAGGGTGTGAACCTGCCTGTCAGTGTGTAAGCATGGCTAGCGGGTGTAAACAGGAGTGTGACGTTTCCTGAGGGTGGTGGGTGTGTAAGGCTGCGGTGTGACAAGGACTGAGTGTGTCTGCAGAAACAAGCGTGAAACTGAATGGGTGTGTCTGTGAGTGAGAACAGATGTCCAGCCTTGTGAACGTTTAGTTCGTGTGTCACTGGGAAGAGTGTGCATCTTCCTTGGAGTGTGGAGTGTGCAGAGCCTCACGGTGCCATCATCCGCTGGATGTGAGCGCTTCTGAGTTGGTATTGGTGATTGTAAATGGGCGGGTGGACGTTGGTGAGTGTCACATGAGTAAACTGAGGCATGAGAGCAGACAGAGAGTGGAGGCTGGAACGTGACTAAGTCTGAGGAAAATGTGAGCAGAGCTTAGTGGATTGTGGGTAAGTGATGGATTGTGGGTAAGTGATGGATTGTGGGTAAGTGATGCTTGGGTCATAGGTAGTTAAGTGGGCTGTGTGTGGCAAATAGAGGATGGGTGGGCACACTAAAGTGGGGTACAGAGGGACTGGGGAGGTGACTCTGTCAGTAAAGTGGCCTCTGGGCAAGCATGAGGACTTGAGCTTGGATCCCCAGCACCCACATAAAAGCCTGATGTGGCAGCAAGCTTCTGTGACACTGGGGTTTAGGGAGACAGGTCCCTGAAGTTCACGGCCAGCCATTCTAGCTGAATCAGTGAGCTCCGTGTTCAGTGAGAAACCCTGTCTCAAAAAATTAAGGTGGAGAGTCACTGAGGAAGACACCCAATGTTAACGTCTGACCTTCACACGCAGGCACACATACATGCACACACACATGCACATACCCACACCATACACACACACACACACATACTCACACCATACACACACATGCACACACATGCACATACCTACACCATGCACACACACATACACAAGTAAAAATAAAAGAAGTGGGGTGCAGATATGCTGATACGGGCTGGGTTGTGAGTGGCTACAAAGCTGGGAAGTGTTGACTTTCCCGCTGCAGCTCTCCCATTACGTCCCAGGTTCATCTCTGGTCTGGTCTCAAGCTCCAACCTTGAATCCAGCATTCAGACCAGAAGTCAAATCCGTTCAGTCACCCAGTATGGGAGTGCGGGGCTCAGAGAACTGAGAAAGTTTGTTATTTACCCTTCTAGGTGCTGAGGACCAGGATGGGGATGGAGAAGGATCCAAGACAGGTGGGTCTGGCCCTCTTAACTGGGGAAGCATCAGAGACAGGAGACAAGACTTCATGCTCCGAGGTTTGATACACCCTCTGATGGAGGCCACCAACCTAGGGCCACCTACCACTCAGGAGTCTCCTGCCTACTTTAGTCCATCCACCAGGACTGTACCAACTGAGGACTTCCAGGGGTGGGAGGAGAGCTTCAGGAGAGAAGTCTCTTATAAACAAAGGAACCTTCAGCAAATAACTGTCTCTTTGGTCTGTTTTCCCACGTGTAAGAAATGCGCGTGAGAACAGGTCTCTAGATGTTTCTACATTGGATTAAATGAGATAGTCTGTATAGAAGACAGTACCACACCTGGTGTCTAGTTAAGAGCTGATGGTGGCGCCTGTAGTGATAAGCAGACGACTGTGGGTGGCCTGGCTCTCCTTAGAGGCTGTGCAACACTGGCAAAGTGCTTTGCTCCTCTGGGCTGCCATATCTCACCTGTAAAATACCATCCTGGTCCTGTTCTAATGGCCCCTGAGAGCTGTTCTCAAGCTCTTGCCAGAGCCTAGAGAAGCTGTTTCTTTGCTGAGGGTCGTGGACTGAGATCAGGTCTTAGGGTGAATGCTGAGGTCCTTGGAGCCCCACAGCTGCAGGACCAGGAGTGACCAGGCTGAGAAAGGCAGATTTCCAAAGAGCCATCTTGGACTGGTCCAGTTGACAACAGCTCCTTCCCTACCCACAAAGAAGGAAGAGCAGGAGTCATGCCTGGGGACTGCTATAAATCATAGCAATTAATTCACCACCTCTTGGTGACTGTGTGACCAGCATGGAGATGGGATCAGGCCTCAGGCAGATGTTGGCAGAGGGCGGGAGGGAGGGAGGCGCAGGAAAGGAGAACGGGCTAGAGAGTCAGTCAGTCACGTGACCCCGGGCCTCCGTAACCACGCCGGCCTCCCTTGAGCCTCATTTCACCTCGTTTATAGCCTGGGCTCTGTGTGTTGCCACATCTCCAGCTGGTCGGATGTGGGTCCTTGTCCCCATTCTGTAGAAATAGGAGCCTAAGATTCAGAGAGGAGAGTTGTGTGGGACTTACTCCGAGGGGGTGGAGGTGGGACTTGTGAACTGAGGCTTGGGACGGCCCTGGGGCTCCTCCTCTGGCACTTCAATGGTGCCGAGCTCTGCCCATCCCTTCCGTATGCCCACCTTCCTTCTCCCTCCACCTGCCTCCCCAGGAGTCTTCTCTTATCACAAGCTCTGCCCTTTTTTTTTTTCTTTTCAGCTCTGCGGCCTCTGAAACATTCAGAAAACAAAGAAGGTAAAGATATATCGCCTGAGATCGAATGTGTGTGTGTGTGTGTGTGTTTGTGTGTCTGTGTAGGAAGCTGGGGAGTAGGGCAGCCATTTTCACCCTTTCCCTGCTGACCTATGCTTTCGCTCTAGAGGAGCAGCTTCGGCTCACCCAACTGTCCTACACAGACTTACCCATAGCAGGCATCTCCTGTCTGACAGTCTTAAAGCTGCAGGTAGCCTAGGGCCTGGATTCTGTCCCAGCAATATGAAGCTCTCATCCCTGGGTCTAAGGGCTTGCTGTGGCTGCCATGCCCCCTCCAGAGGCAAGGGATGAGAAGGAGGGCAGGGAACATCTTTCTAGGGCTTGGCCAAGAATAGCTCCTGTCACTTTAGATACATCCCATTGGGCAGAACCTAGTCATGTGGCCTGTTTTTCCAGGTGAGGCCTGAAATGTAGCTTTCATCTGGGCAGTCACGTTTCTGGTGCATAGGGTGGGGGTTAGTCAGTACAGCGGTCCTTGTTACTCACGTGGGCAGGTTTATTAGGAAACAGGAAGTGAGCGCTCTCCTTGCTGTCAGCACAGAAGACTGGAGCCCTGCTGCTGAGAAACGTCAGCTGGGTTTGAAGAAACGTCTGGGTCTGAAGAGACTTGCTACACAGAGTAGCCCTATAGGTGAAGCAAGGGCTTTCCTGCTCCCCAGGGAGGCATCCCGGCCGTAGTCTGTGTCCAAGATGGATGACTGCAGAAGCAGGTTATGACAGCTCCTTTCCTGAGGACAGACGGATCCCAAAGGAAGGGAGAAGAGCAGGGCTGCCTGTGGCCTTCTAAACTGCCGGTGCAAGCTGAGGCGTGGAGCAGGGCCAGGGGTGTCAGATTTGGATGTTCCTCAACAGAGAGGCACAGTCAGAGGGAAAGGGTTTCCTGCAGCAGGATTCTTCAGGCCATTAGAATGGAAAGGGGTACTGCCAGAGGAGGGAATTGGGCCAGGCCTTCTGGGGTGAGTCCAATGGACCAAGTAGACCAGTAGACTTACTCTCCATACTGGCTGCTGTGTACATACAATGTGGCAGTGTAAGGGGACACACTCCTTAGCTCTACCCGTGCTACACACATAACAGCCTCCAGGGTAGAGGTTAAGGTGCGCACTCCCAACTGGGCAAGTGACATCTGTTGTCCCACCAGGAGCAGAACATCTAGCTTCTAATACATTCTCCCCCTTTTCCTTTCTTCCCACCATGAAATGCAGATGACGGACAAGAAATAGCTTGACTGGGAGCTGCTGCCCTTCCAAGGTGGGGGACCCACCCTCTGGCTGTGTTGAGACTCCATGTGAGCCCTGCCCCCAGCGAATGGGTTCTGTTCCACAGATCTACCCATTCTTCTAAGGACGTGGTCCATAGGCCACCCGCAGCCTTATTTTTCGAATGGACTTAATTCCCATCATCCTTCAGCCTCATTTCTCCAAGGACATGATACATGAACCATCCTGCGGCCTTATTTCATACGGACACCACACAAAGAGCACTTCACCTCAGTGTTCCTCCAGAGTCATCCAGTGGCCTTGTGATACCGGATGAACCTTCTTCCTTCTGCCTTACTTCTAATGGACACACACAAACCACCCCCAAGTCCTTGATCCGCCAAAGCCACGCAAACTGTGTAACTGCTATTATTCTCCAAGAGACATTCTGTTCAGAAGAACCCCTGCCTGATTTCTCTGAAGACAGCTACATAGTTACCTCTTGGTTCTTTCTCCTGCGGCCCTGACATATCTTAGTTACCTTTGTTCTGATCGGCCTTTGTTCTGATGAGGGTGGGATCCCATTGCTTGGCAAGCCTTCATCCTGACTCCCCTCCCCTGATCTGGCCCTGGCTTTGGTTGTCTCCCTCCCTGACTGAGTGAGATGGGGTACACTCCCCATCCACACACACAGGTCACAGATACCTGCGGCTGTGCGTGCTGGATCGCGTATAAACTTGCCTTGCATGGTCTCCTCTGGCTGCCCTGGGCTGTGCCCCTTCTCCCCACAGGAAGCAGGTGCTGGTCTCCCTGGTTCTCGGCCCCTCAAGGGGTCAGCCTTCAACCCTGTGCTTCCCCATGTTGGGAATCTTTGTGACCTTTCCTTTCTTAGTAAATTAACATCTGTTGAAGAACCACGGGGTCCAACAGGACTTTCACAGACCCGCCAGCTAGATAAATGATGACACAGAAGTTTATTAATATTTTAAAGCTTAGGCCTTTTGCTGGGCAGTCTCCTAGCCACTCTATCCCGATTAATCCTGGCACTATGTCCTGCCACATGGCCAGGTCTACCTCTCTGCTCCACTCTGAATAGTCCATCCACCTCTGAGTCTGCTGGCAAATCTCCCGTGATTCAGTTTTTCTCCCAGAATCCCTATCTCTGCCCGGAAATACCACCTTCGACTTCCTGCCCAACTATTGGCCGTCAGCTCTTTATTAAAACTGATCAGATGTAATTCTAGATTGCCTTAGGCAGGTAAGGAAGAAACATATTTATAAAATATGAGACCAGTGATGGGCCATAGAAATAACAACACCAGATCCTACCAGCATTAAACCCTCTGCCGGTACAAAATTAACAATTGAATATGCGGAGACACCCCTTCAGAGTGTACCCCAACAACAGGGGTGAGCATTGTGCTGGGTACTAGGGTCCTGCCAGAAAATCAGAGACCTTACCTCCAGCTGGGACATGGCCTTGCTCCCTGCTGTACCCACCTGTACCCACAGCTTCTGGGTACCTCACCCTCAGCCCACACTATCCCTGACCCAGGGCCCAGGGTAGGGCCAGAAACCTGGAGAAAGCATATAGCCCCTTGCCGTACCTGGAGAACTGGGTATTTTCTAGAGTCTTTACAGATGTGGACTGGAAGGCAGGTGGCCACAGCCATGGAGACATGGGTAGGGGCAGAAACCTATGCCATACTGGGACCTCCTCAACAGCTGGGGCCTAAGGAGGGCCTGAGGACAAGAAGGCCCATCTCCTTACTATGGTGCTATTCTGGAGCTGGGGTTTGTACCTGGCTTGTCTCTGGCAACCCTGGCTTCTGGCCGAACTTCTGATGTCCTCCTGAAGGCCTCTCTCCCACCTCAGTACTGGAGAACCCGAGGATAATTTAAACATGGGACTCTGGCCAGGTATTTAATCCCAGCACCCGAGAGAGGCAGACGGATTTCTGACTTGGGAGCCAGCCTGGTCTACAGAGTGAGTTCCAGGACAAGTGGGGCTATACAGAGAAGCCATCTCAAAGACTAAAAATAATAAACACGGGACCCTGTAAACTGGGTATATTTGGGGAGGAATAAATGTCTTTTTCTTTCAATAGCTTCTCACCTGTGACATCTGTGAAACAGTGGGGTGGCTTGGTGCCAGAAGGAAAGAATCTGCCCTGGGCACAGTTAACTCGCTCTCCATAGCCCAGTGGCCTCCTTAGGGTCCTGCTGCCATTTTCCTCTTAGGAAAGCGGAGTGGGTTGACCAGGATCAGGTTCTTTGGCAGTGGGTCCTCCCACTGATGTGCACGTCACTTGATTTCTTTTTTTTTTCTCCTTTTATTTATTGGATATTTTATGTATTTACATTTCAAATGTTATCCCCTTTCCTGGTTTCCCCTCCAGAACCCTCCTCTCCCATCTCCCCCTCCCCCTGCTTCTGTGAGGAGGTTCCCACTCCCACCTCACTGCCCTGGCATTCCCCTAGACTGGGGCATCGAGCCTTCACATGACCAAGGGTTTCTCCTCCTATTGATCCCAGTCAATGCTATCTTCTGCTACATATGCGGCTGGAGCCATGGGTCCCTCCATGTGCACTCTTTGGTCGGTGGTTTCATCCCTGGGAGCTCTGGGGGTCTGGTTGGTTGATATTGTTGTTCTTCCTATGGGGTTGCAAACCCCTTCGGCTCCTTCAGTCCTTTCTCTAACTCCTCCATTGGGGACTCCATGGTAAGTCCAAGCACCCACCTCTGTATTTGTCAGGCTCTGGAAGAGACTCTCAGGAGACAGCTATATCAGGCTCTGGTCAGCAAGCACTTCTTGGCATCCACAATAGTGTCTGGGTTTGATGTCTGTGTATGGGATGGATCCCCAGGTGGAGCAGTCTTTGGATAGCCTTTCCTTCAGTCTCTGCTCCACACTTTGTCCCTGTATTTCATTTAGATAGGAGCCCTCTGGGTTAAGTATTTGGAGATGAGTGGGTGGCCCCATCCCCCAACCAGGGGCCTTGTCTAACCTCTGAATACAGTCTCTACAGGTTCTCTCTCCCCTTTGTTGGGCGTTTCAGCTAATCTCATCCCTGTTGGGCCCTGGGGGCCTCTTGCTTTCCTGGCATCTGGGACTTGCTGGTGGCTACCCCCAATTCCCCATCCCCCATTGCTACACACCTCTGTTCACATTCCTGATCCTTTGTATGTCATTGCTGTCTCCTCTTATACCTGATCCTGCATCCCTTTTCCCCCTCCCCTTCCTCTCTTCTTCCCAAGTCCTCCTACCCTCTACCTCCTGTGAGTATTTTGTTCCCCTTTCTAAGAAGGACTAAAACACCCACACTTTGGTCTTCCTTCTTGAGCTTTATGTGGTCTGTGAATTGAATCTTGGTTATTCTCAGCTTTTGGGCTAATATCCAGTGAGTGCATAACATGTGTGTTCTTTTGTGACTGGGTTATCTCACCCAGAATGATATTTTCTAGTTCCATCCATTTTGCCTCCAAGTCTAACCACCTGGTTTAGGGGTTCTGCTAACGTCCCCACTTCAGGATGGGAATGTATTAGAGTTTTTATTGCTGTGATAAAACATGATGACCATATCAACTTGGAGAGGAAAAGGTTTATCTCGGCTTCTGTATCCCGAGCACAGTCCTTCAGGAAGTGAGATCAGTGTAAGACCCTGGAGATATGAACTAGAGCAGAGGTCACAGAGAAGTGCTGCTTTATAGGTTTACTTCTCTTGGCTTGCTCAGCCTGCTTTCTTGTACAGCTTAGGACCACTTGCAGGGGGATGGTACCGCCCACAGTGGGCTGGGCATGCCCACATCGACCACTCATCAAGACAATGCCTCACAGGCTTGCCTACAGCTCAATCTTATGGGGGGGGCACTTTCTCAACTGTTCCCTCTTCTCAAGCTTCTATTAAGTTGAGGAGAAAAGACAACAGACATAAGAACCCAAACAAGCAGAAAAGCAAGATGAAGCAGATAATAGAGGAAGAGAATCCAAAATAGGCCTAGGGCCTGGCTCTGCTCTGTGATCTTGAGCAAGACATTGACCTTTGAGTGTCACTTCCGGTGACCTTCCTCTAGGAAGCCTGAGAGGATAGTGAGCTGGGTGGACAAACATATTTGTAGAGAACCAGATTCAGCCTGCAACATGTCCTATGTCCTTTTTCTTTGGGGAATAGCTTCAGAATTCTGCCTTAGTCAGACCATAGCAAGCCTTGAACAGGAAGCTGAGCTGTGGTGGGGCTCAGTCTCCTCACGTGACCTCACCCCTCGGAACATTGGTGATTTCTTTACTAAACAGCGGTACAGAGTCCTGTGTGAGAAGCATGTGACATTCCTTACAAACGGGATGGTTTGAGGCTGGGGATGTATCTCAGTCGGCAGAGTGCTCCTTGCCTAACACGAACAAAGCTGTGGGTTTGAACCTTAGAGTCCTGCATAAATGGGACATGACTACACAGTTCTATTCTTAGCACTCAGGAGTTGGAGGCGGGAAGATCAGAGTTCAAGATCATCTGGCCTATGTAATGAGATTGAAACCAGCCTAGGGTACATGAGATCAAAACAACAACCAAAATCAGAGGGTTTGACGACTCCAGCAACAGAAAGATTTTCTTTGATGTCTTACATTTGCTGCTCTGGGTGGGTTTTGGAATCCAGAAGCGCTGTGGTTCCCTCCCCCATGGTCAGTGCCCTGTGCACTTTGTTCCCCCCACCCCACCCCAGACCTCAGTCACCACCCAGGGAAGAACGACAGCTTCAAAGGTTTGTTGTGAGAATCAAACAAGTCTAATAGGGAAAATGGCCGGCACCTGTGAGGTGGAGGCTTTTCGCCCTGCAGTCAATGCAACACTGTTGCTGTTTCGATGATTGTATACACTGTGCAGTGACCCTAGGACAGCAGTCTGCACCTGTTTTCCCATCTGTATAAGAGAGACACCTGGTGTCTTGTCTTCCAGTCAGGCTGAGGTGAGGATCAGACATGACAATATCCAGTGCTTGAGAAGAGACCCAGCAGGTGTGGGACTGGCCTGGAAGCTGAAGGGTGAGGAAAGTGGCCACGGTGTCCCCTGATGACAAGAGCCTTGGAGAGCAGTATTTTTAGCTGCCCTTCCTGGGCAAAGCTCCAATTCCTGCATTTTAATGGAGAAATAATTCTCACAGTGCGACAAGCTGTAGCCTGCAGGTGTCACATTCATATTGAAGAGAGGACAGAGCAAGGGTTCATTTGCCTGGTTGGAGGTGTGACCGGAATTCGCTCCTACCACCATTTGTAACCTGGCCTGTGAAGACCAATTAGTGGACCTGGCCACTCAGTCACTCATGGGGAGGGAACAGGAAGAGTAGGGATCATATGGCCGGAGTTCTGAGTCCCCCCTGCCCCCCCCCCCACGACTCTTCTAATGACTTGTTACAGATGGTTCTGCCTGTGTGTAGAGTTGAATGATGGCTGGTGGGGAGGGGGAGGAGTACCTGCAGCACCTGGCCTTGTTCAGTTCCCGGATGTGGATACTATACCTGTGATAGGATGGGAAGCCTATACCTGTGAACCAATGAGCAGAGACCCTGGATGTTTCCAAGATGAGCAATTTCTAAAGCTCCAGTTGGAAAGCCTGTCATTTTATTTGTTTGTTTCTTAACTGTGTGTTTGTGTATGCATGTTCACATTTCTGCACACTCAGCCTGTGGAGACCTGAGGTTGACATTTACCATCTTCCTCGATCACCCTCAAGTGTCACTGTTACTTTGGTCAAGATCTAGAACAGTGATGGAATCCCACAAAGTTCCCTTATGTCCTTCCCCAGGCAACAGCCCCGCCCAGGGGCACCATCTGGCTGCTTTCTGGGTGGATTAGCTCTGCTTCTTGAATACCACAGGGATACTATTTCGTATCCAGCTTCTAGCAAAGACTTCCTTCATTCTTTGTAAGTGAAGTGGTAGCAACTCGTAGTGCCTGTTCTAGAGGTGTCTTGTCAGTTCCCGTACTTTGGATGGCACTAATACAGGTTTCTACTCTATGAGGTTCTACAAGTGGGATTTCTAGGAATATTTTATTTTATTTGGATTGGTGGGGGGGGGGGTGGCAGAACACTTTGTATCCCAGACTGGGCCTCGAGTTCACTATATAGTCAAGGATGACATCACACTTCTGGTCTTGCCTCTACCTCCCAATTGCTGGCACTGCTCTATCCACTCTGTGCAGTGCTGGGAATGGAACCCAGGGCTATGTGAATGGTCTATCAACTGAGCGACATCCCCAGCCCCCTGAGTTCACTTGAAATGCTGCTGGAGTTGGCAGCTGTTTGGGCTGCCTTTTTAGCTGGGCCCACGCAAGAGGGTCACTAGCAAAATAGATTCTAGAAAGTGTAAGGACAGTGTTGAGAATCCATGCTCCATCTGGGCTCTCTCTCTAAGGGATGGATCTTCAGCTGAACAGTAGCTAGGACTTGTAGCCTTTCTCATCTCTCTGGACTCTTCAGCATCTCCCTGGGAGCTGTGTGCATTTCTGGGCTCTCAATCCTAGACAAATATATCTACTTCCCCACTGGATGTGCGGATGCAGACCTGTGGTCTGAGCATGCCAGGCTGAGCGCGGGGTGCGGAACTCTTGACTATGATGAATGGGAAGATTCATCAGGATTCAGGTGCCTTGGGGCAAGGGCACTGCCTTCACTGAATCCCAGGGCGTTCATAACCTGCCATTGGGTTCTACCAGGTCCAGATTATTATGATAATATTTTATTATTAATGAGGCAGGGTTATTTGGGAGCAGGGCAAACATCTGGGTCTCATGGGGTACACAAATCCCAACCCTGAGATTGAAAGTCGGTGACCTTTGCCTCCTACCATTTTCTAGCATCTGTTGCAAAATATCTCCACCCACCACACCCCCCAGCTTCCCTTAGCTAATACGATCTTTGGCCCTCCTCCGAACATGTTTCATTCTTGTTCTTTCCAGATTGAGGTCCTGGCTGAGATCATATGGCGTCCACTCATAATAGATTAACCTCCTTGATCCTGCACGCTCTGCTCCCAGTGACAATGCTCCAGGCTCCATTTAGTCCAGTAGACACTGGCTGTGCATTAAAATCACTTAGGGAGTTTTTAATAAT